TGCTCTCGATTTTCGTTTATCTTTTAATAATTCTAAGTTTTCTTGTTATCTTAATCTTCGTTGTGCGGTTCTGCAGATAGCCAGCCGGTTCCTCTGGAAACTTAGGGTTTTCCCGAAGTTTCCTTTTTTACGATTATTTGACAGTAGGTGGATTTCGGTTCCCACAACAGCCGGTAACTGGATAATAACCACTCCAAATTCAGGACTAACAAGATCAATACGACACGAACAACAGTGAAGCAATCGCTCCAAACCCATCTCTCTTCTTATGTTCCTCTCGAAACTAAAGAAGAGCTCGCAAAAGTCTCTGGCCATCAAAGCTCAACAACCACCGGAGTTGACTCCAATCCCTGATCCCTCACTCCACCGTATTTTGAAAGCCCCATCTCAATAATAAGCACCAAAAGACATAAAAACCCAGAGACCCTAGCTCCAAAAAAAGAGACCACGAAAATAAGTGAATCAAACTTGGGTCATACTATCGAGCCTCTGTGGCGCTGAACTTCAAGAAAACTGTCCACAAACGCTGAAAAAGACAACGAAGTCAGACCCTTCAACTCACCATCTCAGATCTTACGAATCCAAGCCGTAAATTTCAGAGGAAGCAAGTCCTCAAGATGAAAAGCCAAAAATATGACAGATCTCTGGAAGAGGCTGCTCCCGATGGCCGTGGCAGAGCCGACCGCCGGAGCAAAGTCAAATCAGAGAGGCGGCTGCTATTTTAGTCTAGAGAGAAAAAGGGTACTAGGTCTTTTTTTTATATGCTTAGTTTTGTTTTCTCTTTTAGTTTGTGTTTATTTTAAACTTTTAAAAGTCCGTTGCTCTCAAATTTACTTACAACCACATATTTTTTATTTCTTCATTATCTCTTTTATGTTAGATTAATAGATAAGGATGGTAAGTATTTGATAAATATTTTTAAGAACGATGAAACAGACGACATTGCCAAAATCTACTATAAAGTAACACAAAATTGAGATATCGAATTGAAGACGTAGTTACAATATGGATCTGTTAAAAAGATTGCCTTGATTTTTTCAGAGAGTCTTGGCGATGAAGACTGTCATTGAAAGAATTACTTGTGTGAAACTGATTTCACTCACTTTAAGATGGCTACACTTGTCTCTGGATTCATTTCCAATGAGAACGAGGCCTCTTAAGAAGTTAGCGCCTACATCTTAGGCTTTTGCATCATTCACTGAGCTAAAGAGCAGTTGGATATGTTGTTGAAGAGAAAGTGAATGAAGAGAGAAAGGAGAAAAAGAAACAAAAAAAAGTAATAGAAAAATTAGTTATGTTTGTTGAGGAAAAGAAGAGAAAGGAAAAGATTAAATCAAAGCGGATTAATGCTTGAAGTTGATTCATTTTAGGATCTTAGCTCAAGCTTAGAGATATTGTAAGCTTACATATTTTTTTCTGTTGCGATGATTTTTTTAGTTTGGAGCCTATTTTTTCATTATTTGATGTACATGTGTACATTAATACACTACACTATATTAGTTGTACACATGTACACTAAACATGGTGTACATGTGGATATATGAACCAGTGTACAAGCGAATCAGTGTTCAATTTTGGGTTTTGTACACGGCATTTTTCCAAAATGTGATCCACATGCCTAAACATAAATCTCTTCCTTTAAAGCAAGCACCAACACATGCTCTTACAAATAGAAGACCCTTAAAATATGAATGAACACAAAAACAAAATGATATATATTTTTCTTTATTCGCTTAACACTTTGTACACCGTCTAGACATGTCCACATGTACACCGTTTAGATATGTCTATGTGTACATTTCCACGGTTCTTCTATGAATTATTTGTGAGTACAAACTGAAACATAGTAGAATATTAACATTTATTAGTACTTGAAGCACCAACACTAAAAGTATGTAGAAAGATCAAAGTTTCAAGTTTCTATCAATGGTACTCTCAAACAAAAGGCTGACCAGGTTCTCTTGTTGGAGTTGGTGAATGCATTGAATTTTTCATGTTTAATATGCGGTTGATGAATTTGGAGAGGGAGATGACCTCAATTGATGCCTAATATAACATAGAAGGAAGACTGTCTCCGGGATAGAGGTAGTAATTGATGACCCAGCGAACAACTAATACGCTCTCTTCCGAGAGATCAACGACCATTCAGATTTTAAGGCAATTTACGACCACTCAGATTTTAAGGCAATTTTTGATAAGTGGCTTCGGAAGTTCGGCAGAAGTGACGGAGAAACTTCCATCATACAATCACTAAAAAGTTTGAATTAAAAAAAAATTAACCATAAAAAGATGAGAATAAGGTACCGCAAAAAAAATGTATCTTAATATTCAATCAAGATTATTTTTATTTTCGTTTCATTATTTTAAAAATTAAAAATATTCAGCAAGAAAAAAAAACAAAAATGCAGATGTTGTTCACCTTTAGCTAAGGACAATAAGGTAAACAATCATTGAAAAACTATCTTTAGTAGTACAATGTGACCCACAGTATTATAAAAGTCAAAAAATGATCTTATATGTAAATAAAACTCTTGTAAAAACTGAACAGCGTGGACCAAGATCGAGTTTCTTTGCCCGTCTTCAAAGTTCGACCAGAAACAGTGTGCCGGTTAATCAATACTATTAAATTAGAAACATGTCCCATTGATAAATGTTAGGTCAAATTTAAAATATAACTGCATCTAAAATCTAACTGCACTGATTATAAAATATAGATCTGATTATATAACAGTTACTATCTAACACGTTTAATAATTTGATACCAGCTTTTTTATTCCAAAATAATCGGACCCACTTCTCTATCCTACTAAAATTGTCGACTACTTTTAATATTACAGTCACTGTTTTTGGTAAAGGCCATTATTCAAGCTAGAATATATAAGTAGCACTATAAACATAATATTTTTACCCAACATAAGAAAAAAATAGAAACCAACATTATGCCGTCACTCAAAACACGGGTTAAGATCTAAAATAGATAAATATGATTAGAAGACAACAAACATATGTGTATATAATTACAAAGAAACGAGTGAATGCCGGTGGATCGATTTTTAAATTGATTTTATTTTATAAAATAGATTTTGATTAAAATTTATACACAAACATGATTATACAAAAAACCATAAATATAATTTCAAAAAAATACGAATATAAAATAAAATTTCTAAGAGAAAAAACAAAACAAAATATATACATGCCCTTTCAAAGGCGGGTCAAGATCTAGTTAATACTATTAAATTTGGAAAATGCCCAATTGATTAAAAGTTCAATCCAATTAATTTTTATCCATGTCTACTTTCTGATATTATTAAATGCTGGATCTATACTTATAAAATCACCTATTTTCCCGTAACTACATTTTGTTTCCATTTTGTTTCCACAATTCTCGTGACCCACTAATCTGAAAGTCGACAGTTCCATATAATAAAGGCATTCCTTTTCTTTTAACAGCACTCCTTTCTTTTTGTTTAATTAAAGAGAATTGTGATTTTAGACCATATGAAACAGCATTAACACAGTTTTAATAATAATTATACTGATAACAATATAGTTAAAACGAATATTGTTGTCTATATTAATATTTCAAATCATATACTAGTTAATACTATTAAATTTGGAACATGCTCAATTGATTAAAAGTTCAGTCCAATTAATTTTTATCCATGTCTACTTTCTGATATTATTAAATGTTGGATCTATACTTATATAATCACCTATTTTGCCGTAACTACATTTTGTTTCCATTTTGTTTCCACAATTCTCGGGACTCACTAATCTGAAAGTCGACAGTTCCATATAATAAAGTCATTCCTTTTCTTTTAACAGCACTCCTTTCTTTTTGTTTACGGACCATATATGTGTATTATTAAAGAGAATTGTGATTTTAGACCATATGAAGCAGCATTAACACAGTTTACTGATAACAATATAGGTAAAACGAATACTGTTGTCTATATTAATATTTCAAATCATATACTAAGTTTTTTTCTGAGAAATCATATATTAAATTGTTTAAATCTATTCTATTAAATTAGGAATGAATAATTGATAGAAGGTTAATCCAACTAAATATTTTCAAAGATCTATACTTAAAAAAAATATTAACTGCATCAAATTATATATTATGTATGTAACCATCACTTCAGCATAATAATAAAAATTCACTTTTCTATTTACATCCAAATATTTTATTTAATCAAATAAAGACTAAAATAAAATAAAGATAAGCAAAATCGTTAGTTAATAATTACTTCAATCAACCTATTTTATGATTTTTACTTAAATTTAGTAAAATATATACTAACCCATTTACATATATATAACTATAACATAATATATATATATATATATATTTAACATAACATATTAAAACTTATTTTTTAAACATTTTTCAAAAAAATTTGATCGATTTTCGGTGCAGGTTAGATTTGATATTAGTTTTTAGATATAACACTTTAATAATCATTCGAGTACATATAGCATATCCAATAGAGTATGAACTTTGATTTTCGGGTCGATTCCGAGTCGGATCTTTTAGGTACAAATATTTTTAACTAATTATACTAGGTAGCTACTAAGAAATAGTAGTATATTCAAAATTTTAGGAATTAAGTTTAAAAATAATTTTTGAAATACATATGACATAAGTGTATACTTATGCATCTTGACATATTTAATATAGTTACCAAAAAT